AATTTGGTGAGAAAATTATGGCCTGTAATTATGGCTCTTGTTCTGTGAACCTAGTCTATGGCTCTGAAGTATGATTTCTTCTTGAGAATAAAGCAAAGGTTTAAATTTTTCTCTTCTGTTACATACACATCAATTTCTGCCTCAAGTATATTGCACTTTTCATTCATTATTTCTTCTAAGACAAATTTAAAACTTTTGAGGAACAAGTTATTGCTATAAAAAAATTATTTTATTCATTCAAAAATAAAATGTCTCCTTTTGATAAAAAATACCTTTTAATTTTCATATGTGCATAAGCTTAATTTTAAAAGTTGAAATCAATTGTTCTATAAATGCTTTTTCATTTGTAAATTTCATTTTAAATTTTTGAATAAAAAAGTTTTATTTGCAAATTTAAAAGGAAAAAATACAGAACTTTATTCTTTAGAGGGTTTGCATTGCCCAATTGCATTGTACAAGCTTCAGTTGCAAAATGTGCTCAAGTATAAAAGTGTCAATTCTCTGAAGAAAAAATATCTAGTATGTTATTCTTATGTATATTAATGAGTTGATTTAAATATGAAAATGAACTCATAACTGAATGTTTTGAAAGAATTTAGTAGGGAATAATACTTTCTGTATGAATTCACTTCTTTTTTTCCCCTTGAACTAAATAGTATGTTATCCTTTCTGGCATGTATGCCGAGTTTTTGCAAATCCAGGGTTTCATTATATATTTCGAATTTTGATAAATCTATTGGTAATAGTAATAGTAATAAAATTGGTATTGCGAGAATTTCAAGAGCTAAACGTAAAAAAAGAGTTACTAGAGACATGACAACCCTCAGGAAATCTATGTTAGAATTAGCTAATAAATTTGATGATAACTATAACACAGGATTAATTAAATCATTTATGTTTGGCATGAATAAAACTGAAATTAAAATTATGACAGATATTTTAAACAAATGTAATCTTAGGGATTCTCATGGTATGCATATATATATGATTCGAGACCTTAATAACTATTTAGTACAAAAAATGAATATTAAATTAGATGCAAGTGAAAGTTACACTATAGAATATTGTACATTATTATTTATGAATAAATCCTTTAACAAAATTAATTTTTCTGGTATATTTCAAAAATATCAATCCTTTTTTCCAATTAAAAATATTATTAAAAAGGCTTTCAAATATAACAAGAAACTTGGTAGATTTATATTTAATTATAATCAAATCTCGGAGCTCCTTAGTACAGAATCATGTAAATGCAATTTATATCGGGACTATATTGATGATTACCATCAGCACGTTGTCACGGGAAACCTTGGCATCGTGAAAGATGATTTATTGAGAAATTTTATGGAAAAAGGTACTGGTTTTAGATTGATGATCACAAAAAATAAATCTAATGTTATGAAACAAATCAAAAAGGATTTAGATAAATTCTACCTTAAAATTGCTATTAAATATGGAATGCCAATTGAGGCTTTCAATCAATTTAGATCTTATGTAGCAATAGAAATTCAAAAATTAGATTTCAGTGTTGAAAATGAAATTATGTATAAAGATCTTAAATCATCAATAGAAAATATCCAAAAAGACTCCGTGATTACATATGTTGATAAGGTCTCTGCTAATTATGCCATAATCTGTAAATATTTTTACAGTAAAATATTAAATAATCACATTTTAAATAATAATGCATTTCAAAAATCAATTCATAGTAATAGAGAAGATGATAATCGTCTTTTAGCTTTGAACAAAAGACTGAATATTCATCTAAATAATATTAAATATCCACGCATTTTTTTAACACCAAAATTTCATAAAAGCCCTATAAAATTTCGTAGTATCATTAATGGGTACAATACATATATCACGAGGTCTGGTAAGATCTTAGTCTCTTCTTCAAAATTTAATTGATAATTTACAAAACACGGCAATAATTAAAAATAGCTTAGAAATTGCCAGAGTTACTAAAGATGTGTTAATTTTTTCCATGCATGGCTTTGACTTCGAGGACCTTTTTAATTCTATTGATATTGATGATATGATTCGGGTTCTACAGTTAATTTATGATAAATATGAGCTATATACTTCAATGAAAAAAGAGAAATTCGATATTCTTGTTAACCTCGTATTAAAAGACAATTTCATTGCATTTAATCAGAATCTTTATAAACAGATCAAAGGATTACCTCAGGGTGGTCCAGCTAGTAATTGTTTAGCGAACCTGTATTTATACATTTTTTTGAAATTGACCATATTGTTAATGATTCTTACTTGATTTATCGTTATATAGATGATTTAATAATTTTTGGTAAAAATAATGAATATAAACCAAATATTACATTCTACCCTGACTATCTCAACCTCCTTAAAACTAACTTTGACTCTAATATGGTAGAATTCTTGGATTTAGATTTGCATCTAATTAACAATAATGTAGTCAGTAACATTTTTGACAAAAGAGATTCTTTTAAGTTCCATATAATTAAAATTCCTGTATGGAACAGTAACTTGCATTTATCGGTCAATTCCCAGTGAACGGTACGCTCCTTGTCCGCCATCTTGTTTTTGGCGACTATGGGCGAAACGCGACTCCGCGAAGCACACGCCAAGTATGTAGGTCGATGTATCTTCGTGCTAGATCTAGAAACTCAGCGTGAACTCTATGGAGTCGTGCTCCGAAAATAATCACCACAAAAACAAGAAAATACAACAAAACAACAATAAATTTCAAAAATTTTAGAAAGACAAAAAACACTTTCATAAAATCAACAAAGGCATTAACACTTACTTTTTAATTCTTCATCTTTGCTGCCAAGTATATCCGTCATCCAAATCTTTCCTTTCAACCAATTTTATATTTTCATTACAATTAGGACAAGTATAATTACTAGCAATCAATCCTACACTCATACAATATTTAACAACATCCAACTTACCTTTTCCAATTCAAAAAAAAATCTCAAATTCACTCGGTCTTGTTCCAATCCAGACAAAGACGAAAAAGCCATTATACTTAAAATTTTAAAAACCAGAAATTAAAACCAAATAAAAATTACAAAAATTTAAATACTATAAAATTAAAAACAAATACTAATTAAGAAATTTAAATACTATAAAATTAGAACAATTAAAATTTTTGAAATAAATACGATTGAAGAGAATGCAGAACTTAACCACTCCACTGGTGAAAAACAGATTGAAATGTAGCAAGCTGCAAAACCGTTAAATTAACGACAAAAAGTGTTGAAACTCAAACTTACCTCCTACAACTTTTAATATAATTGGATGAAACAAGAATTAGATCATCATGACATCATTCATTGCGGAAGTTACACCAAAGAGGATCCGATAACGCACAGGTTACCATCTTTTAACGGGAGAGAAAGGGTTAAGTTGACAAGGAGAAAATAAGTATCGCCCGAGAAACGGCGCCAAAAAAATCGCCAAAATAGCGTACCGTTCACTGGGATAGAGCCCATTTATCAATTTACAGAAATGTTATTTTGAATTTTTTATTTAGAAATGATAACTTAACTACCCACAAAATCGATAAATTTAATAATATCAAAAAAAATTTTAAATGTTGTTTAGATCATGAATACCCTTTTAACTTCTTAAGAACTTATATTCATCACAAATATATTAGTCGTCTTGCTACTTCTGATTCCAAATCCACCACACAACAATAGGATTTCAAAGTCAGCATGTTAGTGGTCTTGCTGTGAAGATTATATCATAACACTCATATCACAGTTTACATCTTTTCCACACACATCTTAAACATCTTACACATTTTTGACAACCAACCAAATTAGAACCTAGCAAATTTACATTTTTGACAATCAACCAATTCAAAGCCTACCAAAATTGATTGTCATCTATCTCGATATCTATCTATGCTTGTTAGTGTAAAAGGTAGTTCAAAAGATACGTTCAGAGATACCCAAGACTCTTGATTCTCTTGGAAAGGGATCTGTAAGTAGGAAGATTTCGTTTAATAATTTTTTTTTTTCTTTTTCCTGCTTTAAGAAATTGGGGAGAATTTGTTTCAGAATATTAATCAGTGGTTTTATCATACTCTCTGTGAGTTTTTGTATACTTTGAATTTTGTTTATTTTTTATATACTTTGAATTTTTTTATATACTTTAAATTTTTGTTTATTTTATTTGGTTTTCCTACCGAGTTGCAAAGGGGGAAGGTTGGCGCTTTAAAACTAGTCTAACCCACTTATTCGGTCCTAAGTCCGAAATTGCATTCTGACTCTCTAGGTTCTTTTTTATAGTTCCTTTTTAGTATTTTTTCGATCTTCATGTTTTGCTTTTATATTCTTATTACGTTATTTCTCTTGTTATGTTCATTATCTATTATTTCTGGTTTTTGAAATATTATACAAATTTATTTTATATATATATATATATACTTAGCGTAATAAACTCTTTGATCCTTTAGCTATCCAGTGGTGTAATTGAATTTTAGATAGAAATGATAGATATGTAGCTGCAACACCAAACTGTATCCCCCGCACGCGATTTCGTTATCATTTGTTTTTGAAGCTATACTTCTTTTGGGGCATTAGAGAAAGAGGACGAGGGTAAATTTTTACAATGCGCGAGCACCCCGTCACGGATGTAATGCAGAACCGTCACGGATGCGTGAAAACCCTTTGTCAAGAAATATACAGAACGGGACAAATCATTCCCGCCTTCGAAATCTCACAAAAATACTTCTCTTCACTTCCCTGGAGAAGGGGACACCCAGGTTTGAACCGGGGACCTCCCGATCTGCAGTCGAATGCTCTACCACTGAGCTATACACCCACGTCAGCGAATCTTTGCTTTGTGTTCCGTAGGAA